CAGTCTTCATTTGGGTTTCAGTAATTCCTCTTGGTTACATTACCCTTGATCATGCCCTACCAGGCCTCCTACACCCTCCTCACCACCGATTTGGATCACTTGTTGTTCCCTTGTCCCTGGATTTGTTAACACCACTACCTTTCCCCCCACCTCCCCTTCTCCCATGTCCCCCCGGAACCGTCGTTCCCGTTGTTTTCTCCTCCAGATTGTTCATCCAGCCTATCATATTTAGACAGACCTACGGAAACAATAACATGCACAAAAACAGGACAGAGCTAAACCAAGCAACAATATACAATAAAACAATGACAAAAAACAAAACAAAACACAACAAGAAAGAAAAGCTTGTAGTTAGTTCAAGGACTGTTTGTTGGCCTTTAGAAGTTTTTTCCAGAAGAATTTATTTCAAAGGACGGCATTGAATCTGCAGTTCTGGGAGAGGGGCAAATCTGATCGGAGCACATGGGAGCAGATGAAGGGGGAGGAGGAGAGAGTGGAGCACATCCTGGCCCACCAGGCCTTGAGGATAATGTTCCTGATTAGGCAGCAAGTCCACAGAGAGGACCACATGGTGGGCCCCACTATGAGACATGACATCCCTCACTGACCCATAGCCGTACAGGGGACAACACCGGAGACACAGTGTGGGAATTGTGCCCAATCTGATCCTGCAACACCGAGGCAAAACACTAAGGGGGTGTAACAGAACAGCAAGGGAACGGAGCGGCGAGGTCCCCAGGGGATGCCTAAGGTGGACTTTGGCACCAGGGCTTGGTGCCCCAACAGACTGGACTAGAAATCTTATAAATGCACAGGCCGCCCCTCCTCCCCTGCCCCGCAACAAAGATTCATTCATTCAGTCTAAAATGCAAATAGTTCCAAAGTTGAGAAGCCAGGATACAGTATCTGAAACAGAGACAAACGCAAACCCAATTCACTGCCATTATGTCAATTTTCACTCAGGGATAGGTAGGTGGCCCTACTGGACTGGGTAGAACTGTCCTCTAGGGTT